CTTGGTTTTTGTCAGGCTCGGACTCGAATAACAAGATTCACTGTCACGCTCACAGCTAAAGATTCGAAGCATGTTCATCTGCTCAAACCTTAGACCTTTCGGTCCATAGGTTGACACGCTAACCATTAAGCCATACCTGGCTCAGTGTGATTTACAAATGATTTAAAGTGGCTTGAATTAGTTGCAAGTAGCAGGACTGACGAAGTGTGTTAGTCATGCATACGAGAAGATGAACGAGAGTGATGTTTAAAATATGGGTACTGAATATTTATGGGGCGGCACCAGGAACCGGAATTTCTCTGACGGTCCATGCTTAATTAGTACACTTGTGTGTTAGTTGTGAGAGATGGTCTAGGTGGTGGTAATTAATTTAAATCTACGTAAGAACAAAACTTTACAAGTTTTAAGAAAGATGAGAAACTTACTATTAAAAAAAATCTGTGCGCTTGCAGGAAATGATTCGTTGTATTGATATACATGAAACATCGGGAGTTTACCAAATATAACTAGGGTTTTGTTATATTGATATACATGAAACATCGGGAGTTTACCAAATATAACTAGAGTTTTGTTGTATTGATATACATGAAACATCGGGAGTTTACCAAATATAACTTGGGTTTTGGAAGTAGAACTTCGAAATTAAACAACATGACTTCAAGAATTATGAACAATTTCTTTATTTATCATCAAGCACAGTAATCACAATGTTAACTTATATATCACTGTTTACATCATTATTTAAAACATAGAAGATCAACATCGTTTTTAACAACGAGCGGAACTGATTTCCCTTGTTAATGTCGTGACCGATGTTTAATCGTATCAAACTATAGACAATAAACATTCGTAACTAAGACTATATTGAAGTTTAACAGCTAGGAGTAAAGTGTTTTAAACCATCAAATCGATTTTAAAATTTCAATGCTATCTAATTTTGGTGTGAAGTCTGAAAACCGATGAGCTTATTTTTTTAGGGTTGAACTGAGATCGTTAACTAACCCGGAAGTGAAATTACGAGTGCAGAAGAAAAGTTGACGCAATTAGAATATATCTAAAGCAAAGAAGTAAAATAAAATAACACGGAAACTATTTATTGCTTTTGTCATTAATTTCAGCTAGTCGTGTGAGTTTCACACATTTGTTTCTATTATGGCTCAAATATTATAATATTCACATACATGTGCACACACACACATATATATAAACTGTAATTCAAGGTTTTGCTTCAAGATAGATATGTATAATAAAACCTGGATCATTTCTTTGTTTCCAGTTGTTGTTTTTTATTAGGTTCGTAGCATCACAGGCTTTTCTTTAACGTAGAAGTAAAAAAAAAAACAACAGAAAACAACTAAACGTTTTTATGAAAGTAATGAAATTTAAATTTAAAATTGATAGTTTAAATAATAATATAATATACAACTTTTATTTTTCAACTTAAAATCCTTTTAAAAACCAGCTTATAAAATAAACTATTTTATTATTATCAATTTAAACTCAAAACCTAATTAAAACGAATTTTTCCATTGAAATCGACATTAAAATATATTAACGATAAAATTACTAAAACGATTTTTTTTTCCATAGCTAATATACTGAAGAGTTGCCTGTGATGGATGCTACGTAATCGATATAATAGAGAGCACATCCTGCAGATATGCGCACACAGACATCAGATACAGTTAACGAAAGAGTGTACTTGATTGATCTTCGTGACCCGTAAAGGATCTATGTTTGAGTGGAGTTTAAACTCAATTATCAAATGGTTATAGAATTTGAAGTCGTATATACATTTCAAATATATATATATATATATGACATAACATATGAAAGAATATAAACATTTCGTGCTCTAGATGTCAAAATGTTTATTTGGTTTCCATGTCAGAAAATTTAGGATATTGGTTAATTTACTTAATCATTCAAATTAATTAACATAAGATAAATTACTACTTATATATTGCAGTAAAGAATTTTTCAGTTGGTATACACTTTTTTCGTGATAGCCGGTAAAATGTATTTTACCCGTTTTGAGCTACATCACAGCCTTGGGTTTTAGAGAGACACTAGTTATATTTATGAGCTCATCGCCCTCTCGATGACGCCCCAGAATAACAACAACACTTCCACAAAGAGTATAAAACTATTATTTGCTTAAATAATTATGGCTTATTAAATACCCTAGTCTGGAATGCGTGAATTTGGACTTGTTAATTAGACTCAAATCAAATGTGTCTATACACACACATATATATATACAAAGTACTATACTTCAACCAAAAACATTGGAAATGACAAATAAGTGGCACAAAAAACAAAACAAAATAATAAAAACACTTCACGATTTAATATGTTGCTACTTTATATTATGAAAGTGGTTTCTGCTAGATCCCGTATATTTTAAATATACCTTGAGGACTGGCATGTTGTGAGGATTATTGTTTTGATCTATACATATCAGTATATATTATGAAAGTGTTTTCTGCTAGATCACGTATGTTTTAGATATATCTTGAGGACTGGCATGTTGTAAGGATTATTGTTTTGATCTATACATATCAGTATATATTATGAAAGTGGTTTCTGCTAGATCCCGTATATTTTAAATATACCTTGAGGACTGGCATGTTGTAAGGATTATTGTTTTGATCTATACATATCAGTATATATTATGAAAGTGGTTTCTGCTAGATCACCTATATTTTAAATATACCTTGAGGACTGGCATGTTGTGAGGATTATTGTTTTGATCTATACATATCTGTATATATTATGAAAGTGGTTTCTGCTAGATCACGTATGTTTTAAATATACCTTAAGGACTGGCGGGTTGCAAAGAATTGGTGATTTAATTGATATATATATATCAGTATATAATACCTTAGTAACTAAACAAACGAGTTATAAGCATAGTAATTATTATTACGTGTTTCAACAGAACAAGGCCCGTCTTCTTCTACATGTTAATACGCGTATTATGTTCTCCACATAAAACGATTTCATTGTGTTTATAAATCTTTGTTTATCAACTTAATGTTATAATAACATGATGTGCTTCTGTACACAAGTATATATGCATATACTGATTAGTGATTTGGACTTGTTATAGTCGAAAGATTGCGAGTTCGAGTCTTGCTCTGGACGTGTTGTGTCCTTGAGCAAGACACTTGATTCCAATTATTTCAGCGTTTACCCAACTGTATAATGGGTACCAGCGGGTAACTGGGGGTTGACCTGCATTGGTCTGCATGGTATCCCACCTAGGGTTACGTAATGTTTCACTATTCTCAACCGCTCGTGCCACGGGAAACCAGAGTTCGGAAATGATCTTGTATGCTTTTAAACGCGCGAAAAGGATGGCCCTGCTTATTTACTTAAATCAGTATCTCTAGATGTCATTTTATTATAAAGAAGGGCACGCACATAGCCGAATTTTTAAAGATGTCACGCAACTGTAGAAGTTTAAAGAATCAAATATATCAGGAATTTGAGTCGTTTTGACAGAAAAATTCAGACGCTTGATTCATTGTGAATTCAATCATCAGGTGTATATCGCTTTATAAACTTCATTGATATCTTGGACTGTTAATTAAAAGACTTCACTAATTTTTGACTCAAAATGACACCATCTATTTACAATGTATGTGTTGCACTGGTAAGCTATGTGACATTCTCAATGCTAATATTAAAAAAGTATTGAATACATTTAAAGTCATTTTTCTTAAATTGGAGACTTTTTGATGTTTAGATTATAAGTTTCGTGCGAACAACGTTTCTATTATTTCTGAACTGTTTGACTTTTTTGATCATTGAGAGTAAATTACATTGTAATATTGAACTTTAAAAAGTTTACGAAGGATCTTTTTGGTAGAAGAAATCCCTGCACTAAAAGTAACTTCTTATTATATCAAAGGACTCGACCGTAAAAAAATGTTGACTGTACATTGCTTTGAGTTTGTTTTTAGTGTAATACTATTATATCAAAAATACCACAGTTCATAAAAAAAATGTATTTACGGTGTTCAAAATAAACATACATTAACAATATGACATCACAAGTAACACAGTTCTTCACCAGGTATGTCATTTCCGACAAATAGTGTTTATGTCGCCAGGATCTATAATAGGTAACATTTCTGGTTGCGTTTGTATATTTTAAAACTATACATAGATATCCTTATAAAATACGGACATTGTCGTAAAATACCAAGGTACTATGATACAAGATGCGGTCACGAAATCCCACAGAATAGTTACGATATAACAGTCTAATAGATAAAGACGATATGACAAAATCCTCATAAATTTACAGAGATATGTCGTGACTTTGTTAAATCATCTTAAGTTTCGGTACGAAAACAAAACAACTTATTAAAGTTCATGGCACAACCTGCTGGAATATTTTAATAAAGCAAGAATTACGAAATAGAATTAAATCATGATATTAAGTGATAATAGCATAAACTAATTGAATCGTAACATACAGAGACTGTGATATAAATTAGTTAAATCACAGTTGAAAAAAAATGACAATGATAACAACCATTTAAATAATAATATAAAGTGACAATTATATCAACAAGTTTAATTACTTATATGAAGCAACATTGTATAAACTAGTTAAATCACGATATAAAATCACTGTGATATACATTAGTTAAGTCATTGCATGAAGTTATTATTATATAAACAAGTTAAATCATGGAATAAAAAGTGACAAAGATATAAACCATATCATCGGACAAGGTGATTGTACTATGATCTAAGGTAATAATCGTGCAAGGTAAGCTTTAAAACCATCACCAGGGGAAATACTTATTTAAATAAAATAAATGTAAATTCTCACCTTAGCTGCACAAATATTGAGGTTTCGTGCATTGTCGAGCAGTGAATAGAATAAGAGTACAAAATGTTTATAATTAACTCTCAAGGAGTTAAAAGTCGTTTAACTATAAACTGATCTATCTGCAAAAAATGAGAAAGTTAACCATGTACAAAAGTATGTTAAATACTAAACTTAAAAAAAAAGGTTTACAGTTATTATATAATCGAAAATGGAAATTAAATCACTTCAATTTGTAATTGATTTCCTTTCAAAACTAGCCTTTCATTAAGTAAGCGGACTCCAATTAAACTGACGTGTTAGACATAACCAGATTTGCGCTAATTTACCGGGGTTTGATAATTAATAAAATTAGAAAAATTATTTAATTATACAACTTTATATTCAGAACTCATAGAACGTTAAAGCACATACATTGTATGCACTGAGCAAAAATTAGAACCCGAAAAATCACGTAGCTCCCCACATTTCCTCCATGGAATTTTGTGCTTATGTCTAACAATAAAACTTAGTCACAAGGGGTAAAGCTAAACTACAACCAAATTAATTGCACTCTTACCTATTATTTTCTTTAATCGCCATTAAGACGACTGTTATAAACATACATACATACACGCACAAGAGAACTTAGGAGCCAGCACAATAACATATATAAAAAAAAACATACAAACTATTAGGAAAATAAAAAAAGATTTTATGCATTAATTCAAATTGTTCTTTGCTTGTTTTAATATTTAGCCAATGACGCAGATTACTGCTGTATTTGTTGTTTAGTACAAAACAGCTGATTAGCAAATATGACGTTCGATTTGTATACAAATAAAAAATATCATTCTTAATAGGATATTGGATGCCACAGAAAATGATATAATTTAATTTGTAAACAACACCTGGACTTTTTTTTTAACTGTTTTGCTTAGGAGTAGACGGTATCAAACTTACATCATTCAATTAGCACATTGCTGTTTTGTCATCTTGTCTGATTTTTTCTTATGATTATTGTCTATTGTTACTATTTGAAATATGGCATCGGTAATGACTAGAAATGAAGACAGTTGTCATTTCTTCTTCATTTTTTTAAAACAAAGTAATGCAGTTAAATAAGTCATATTCAAAGTTGCTATGCCTAACTTCTTGAAGCTCCACTTATTATTGCTGGAGGATTAAAATATTTGGTTAAACTGCCTTCGGGTTTCATTAAAAAGCGCGCGTATGGAAAACAAAAGCCTTCCTTCAGAGTTGTGATGTTGCTTGTTGAAGGAACTGCACTCAATGCAGGTAAACAAGTAGGACCACATCCACAAGGCATTAGGGCAAGCGAGCTGCGGTGAAAGCTTTCAGTTGCTGCCGCACTGTAGAGAGGGGACGCCGGTGATGACGTGTAGCTCATGAGGCTGCATGATGTGGTAGAGAATAAAGAGTTAGTTGAATCGGTTCGGAGTTTTGGAAAATTAACGTTGGTGCCATAAAGGTTGGTGAAATGTGGAGAGACAACGGGACTGGAAGATAGATGAACGTCCAGCGGAAATGTTCTTACTGTTGTGGGTTTTTCACTCTCTATAACAGGGGGGAAAGGTAAACTAAATGTAGACTGAGCAGTAGGTAGCGTAAAACCCCGTAGGGATTCAAAAGCCGGGGAGAAAGTGAAACATGACGTCACAGGGATGAAAGAAGAATCTTTTTTCATTGGAACCTTCGGTTTTCGCCGCGGCCTGTACTTATAGTCCGGATATTCCTTCATGTGAAGCGTTCGCAGTCGCTTAGCTTCGTCAATGAAGGGTCGTTTCTCAGCGTCTGATAATTGTTTCCAATCCGCGCCCAGTCGCTTACTGATTTCCGAGTTATGCATTTTTGGGTTCTCTTGGGCCATCTTTCTCCGCTGACCACGTGACCATACCATGAACGCGTTCATCGGCCGTTTTACATGTTCGTGATCACTTTTGGCCATGTTTGAAAGACGTAAATCTTTACAGAGCTTTGACGAAAAAAAAAACACCGAAATATTAAACTTTAGTTGATTCTTATTTCTTTGTTGTTGTTGTTTTTTTTTAAACTGCAGCGTAAAGTAAGCAGTAATTATGTTAACCGCTGTTATGGGACGCGTAATTCTAACCGTTATGGCAGATAACTTTGGCGTATCTATATCTGACTTTGATCCGTGTATAGATTACGCGACAAACTTACATTGTTTATGATTGGAGAAGCATACATCCAGTAATGCTAACATTCACAATAGAAGCTCCGCCTACCTTACATTGATTGGCTCTTATCAAACAATGGACCAAAACTGTTTTTGTCTTGATTTATAGTATCTAATTAAAAAAAAAACAGGCGAAAATAATTGAATTTTAATTGTATATTCGTGCACTAGTTTCTTACAAAATAAAATATAAAGTTTATACATAGTCTTTACATTAACTAGAAAAAATATATTAAATTTTTTCAATAAATTATTAATTTTGAATGCTTCTGTTTTAAGCATTTTTTTTTATTGGAATCATTCCCCAGAAAATAGAAATCTTGTCGGTAGGTGAAATGTTAAAGTCATGTAAAAGTGAGTGCTTAAAATGATAAAATACTGAGAACAAAATAAACTTTGTGGATACGTCCAGGGTTGAATTCTGATCAGTGTTACTGTTGATGTCGTAATTGGAACATTCTCTGTCTGAAGATGGTTATTGTTTAACCGAATATTAGAAAAATGTTGAATGTTTGCTGCTTTATATTCGCTCATTCCAATATTTTCATGTTAATTTATCCACATATTTCAAATCCACGTTCCTGTATCTGCTGCTATAGTTTGTATGTGCTTGAGAAGACTTGTTGGCTATTTACTATCACAGCTCCTGAATTCTTAATGTTGCGTCAGCGAGGTCACGTGACTAGTATCACGCCACCTCTTTCTAGAAATATCCTGTTCCTTCAAGAATGCCCTAGCATTTACTAGATATGTGTTAGTCTTGTATATATAAGACGTTCACAACGTGACGGAACAGAGGTAATGAGTAATTGAACTGCAGTCAGAGAGAATATTGTTAAGCACGTGAGAATTATAGCGTTTGTTACAGAGCGACTGTTGAAATTAAGTGTATCATAAAGTTGTATTCGGAAAGAATAAACCAGTTTTATTTAAGAAAGGAATTGTGTCGCTAAAGTTTCGTCGGAACGAATTTACGGAAAATTAACTAACGACTGGAGGCGTAACATTAAGAATAACCTGATATTGTTTTTCTACATATTATTTGTACGATATACCATAGGCATGTTTTTATATAGACTTAATAAACGTCACTTAGTGTGTGTAATTTGTGATGATTTATTGTTTGTTATGAAACATTCTGATATAACTAATCTAAATGCAATAAAACTGACGATCTTGTTATGTTAAACATTTTTTATCTTACAATTAAATGTTATAACAAACTTTGAAGTCTATGATAAGAAAGTTAATAATGAATATTCTACCAAGATATACAGTAGAAGCATTTTTTAAGATAGGCATTAGTGAAACATCAAGTTTTATATTTAATAACATGCTCGTATGAAATAACTTCAGAGTAGGAAAAAGATATAAAAACTATCAAAAATTACGCTTCACAGACACAACTTGAAGAACATGGTAATAATAATAAAATAATAAAAACTTTATAATGAGGTAGATACAACAGGATTAGTTTGTGCCTTTCATAAAAATAATAGTCATGGTGAGGCAAATTCAAAAATAATCAGCGTATAAAGGCTTAGAATATCAGTTGTAAAGTCAGGAATATTGAATGTATGCATCTCTGGGTAACATAAGTCACTAACATTGGCATATTTGTCTGCGCTGAACATAACACAAAAGATACACTTCCACGTGTGAACAATAGACAGCAACAGAGTCCACATAAGCTTTGTTGCGACAGTACAGGAAAGTTGAGTGGTCGAGTATATTATGTTTGAATAAGAGTTAGGCCTAACGACCCGAAAAGACAATTCATAAGTGAGAAACATTGTTATCTGCCTTAGCGGCATCGTAGTAACACAATAGTCACTAGAGATTTTATTTTTCGATGAAAGTTCTGTGTTTTTTTGTAGATAGCGGGAACTGTCTTCCGCCACAATAGGACCAACCTTTTCGAGTTTGATAGTACACGTGGTCTAGGATGGTAAAAACTGACAACTCGGATTACTTGAAATCTCATTGTCTGTTTTTTCTTTTATCTTTGGCAGGTGAATACATAAGTCTGAGAAAAAGGCCTTAAAATAATTGGTTTGTATAACTTGCTATTAGATAATAATAACTTTGCACTTGGGTTTACAAATATAAGATTTTTAGAGTTATAAAATAGAAAAAAAAATGCACGGCGTTTATCAAGTCTCGGTTATGCGCAGAAGTGGTTTGTTCTTAACGTGTTGAGAGCAAACTACGTAGAATATTTCTTTAGTACACATTGATGTATAAAATACATTTTAATACTAGAAATAAACGACATTAAAACACCAAAATTTGTTATTTTTCTTTAATTGGACACTCAACGCTTCGCATTACAGCTTCTTCAGGAGCTTTCCACTAAAACACAAACCGTAACTGGCAGTACAAAGCTTTGTCAACGGCGTCGTTTTTATAAAAATAACTTAAAGGTACTGGAAATTTTAAAGTTTAAAATATATATCATTCTTTCATGTTTTACAGAAGTTAGACTTCAAACCAGTCGGCTAGTTCACTGAACAGAGAGATTGTCAGATTCTATCTTATCAGTTCCTGCACTGTTATCAACAACTGAGTTTTTTATTGCTTTATCTAACACTGAACTATTCATTCAAGTTGCTTAATGCGTGTAATTTGTAATGTTTTTTTACGAAACATTCTGACTTAACTGTAATCTAAGCGTTGTAAAACTGATTATTTGTAATATTAAACATTTGCTATATTGTAATGAAATGAACCATTTCAGTAATTTTATTTGCATTATTGATTTGAGGATATCTCTTAGATTTATCTACTTATACTTTTCTGCTTTATTTAAGTATGAGGAAAAAGTAAAGAGATGTTATATATTGTTGTTGTCTGTGAGTGTGTGTGTGTGTTTTTCATGCTAAATTCTGAACAACTAATGCGGAACCTACATAACAGACTTAACATTTTATTGAGGTTAGATTACGTATTCCAAGTCGTAATGTTGGTTAACAAATAGCTTTGCCTTAAAACTTAAATTATTTCCACCTATAAAATGTGTTTTGTTTGATTTAAATAATCGGGTCAAAATGTACGCAGAGAAATCGTTTCGTGATTAAACGAGACCTCTGTTTAGGACTGAACCAATTGAAAACGCTGGGGTTTTTTGTGTGTGCGTGTGGTTTATGCACACGTGTGTGTACGTAGAAAATATTGGTAAATATACTTAGAAAATTTAGAACCAGGAAGATTTTGTTGCATTAAATATCATGTTTTAATAATTTTATGTAAAATATAATTATTTTCATCAGAAGAATTAAGTCAGACTAAGGGAGTAGCACATACATGAAAAAATAGAAAAAGAAAAAATTAGCACGTACTACACACACACATATAGTGAGTGCAGTAAAATGTGTCCTGGAGGTAAAAGTATCTGTTAATTATTTAGGACTAACACAGCGGTGGAGATATATGTCTATTAGATTTAATCTGTGTTTCAAAAACTCATATGGCAAATGATATTCAAATTAGCATTAGGAACAGTTGTGGATGTTCCAGTCAATAGTATTCTAAATCTAAACTATTCTTAACTATTCCAGGCAAGTTGTGGGAAAGTATTTAACAACAAAAAGAAAAACATATAAAACAATAAAGTATTTTGCTAACTGAACTACATGGAGTGGTTAATAAAACATAATGCCAAAAATTGTCAGTATGTGTTATGAACACTGCTAGTATTTTAATGTAATTTTTAAAAATTCACTTGAAATATGCAACTACACTAAGGTACAGAAAACTGGAATATATCTCTGAAATTCAAGACATATGTTATGCTTGTGTGTCATTACAGTACTAGATATAAGTCTGGGTCTAGCAATAAAAAAAATGGGTGTGGCTATAATGGTTAATGTGCCAGGCATCGGATCGGAATGTCTAAAGTTCGAATTGCAATGCCGTTAAACACCTTTTGCACTTTCAGATGTGGGTGCATTATAAGAATGATAATTAATCTTGTTATTAGATTCGAAGTAGGGCAAAGCCAATGTGGTGACAGGTGTGACTGCATGCCTTCTTTCTGGTCAATAATTCAAAATTACGAACAGCTATAGCTGAAACCTAGGGATATCTAATTTGGCTGCTTAGTTCATATTGAAAATACCAATTACAAAAAAAAAAGAAAGACAGAAAGACTAATTCTGCTACAAAAATGCTTACTAGAATGGAAACAACTTTTGACAAAACAATAATGGCGAATTTCTGTGTTATATCATACATTATCACGACATAAGTGCAGATCAGCTACTGGGTGTCATTGCTAAGCACGTTAATGCTTAGTATGTAGGGATGACCTGAGAAAGAATGGCCGCCGCATTCAATCCATTACTCTATGATGCTTACAAATAACTGCTAAAGTTGAGTTATAGCCTTATTTGAGCACCTAATTGCCATTATCAAATGTATCACAGCTTGTATAACAGTAATATTGTTCTGTTCTTCTACCACACGTACTTATGTGGAGAACCAATATAAAAGAAAACTACTTCTTAGCAGTGAGTTCAGTTTATAAGCACATATTATTTTCATGTTTCATAAACACCAGTTTCATTTCTAGTCGCTAGATGGCAGCCCAAATTATTCTTATATCTGTTTGTGACTTTTCACTGCACAAACATGATATCTACCAAAACAATTTCAGTAAAAATAAATAAGTAGATAAAGAATAATTTAAACTATTATCCAAGGTATCAAGAAGGTCAAGTATTTATGCAACTGAAAGATCTGTGTGCACATTATTGATGTCTGAGTTTAGAAACACCAGTTTCTTAATTATCAAAACAATACATTATACGGAGATCTACTTTTCTTCAAA